AAAGTCCTTGAATTTACTTCCTATGTTTTCTAATATGGTCTTATATTCAAGTCCTTAATCCATTTAGAGTTAATTTTGGTGTGTGGTGATAGACAACAGTCTAATTTCATTCTTTTGCAGGCAGCTTTACATTTTTCCCAGCACCGTTTATTGAAGATTCTTTCCTTTTTCCACTGTTATGTTTTTGGCTTTTTTGTCGAAAATTATTTGCCCATATAAACACGGGTTTACTTGTGGATCTCGATTCTGTTCCACTGGTCTGCGTATCTGTTTTGCGGCCAATACCATGCCGTTTTGATTACTGCCACTTTGTAGTATAATTTGAAGTCGGGCAGAGTGATGCCTCCAGCCTCATTCTTTTTTCTCAGGATGGCTTTGGCAATTCGGGGTCTTTTGTGCTTCCATAGAAATCTGATAGTTTTTTGTTCTGTTTCTTTAAAAAATGCCAATGGGATTTTGATGGCGATTCCATGAAATCTGTATAATGCTTTCAGTGATAAGGTTATTTTAACTATGCTGATGCTTCCGATCCAAGAACACGGAATATCTTTCCATTTCTTTGTATCTTCTTCGTTTTCTTTCAAGAGGGTCTTATAGTTTTCATTATATAGGTCCTTCACATGTTTCATTAAATTTATTCCTAGGTATTTTATTCTTTTTGTTGCAATTGCAAAAGGAATTATTTTTTCCACTTCTTTTTCTAACACTTAGTTATTAGAGTATAGAAACGCTATGGATTTTTGATCGATAGGAATACTGATTTCGTATCCAGAAACATTACTGTATTTGCTTATTGTTTCTAGTAGTGTTCTTGTGGAGTCTTTAGGGTTTTCTATATAGAGAATCATGTCATCTGCAAATAGTGACAGTTTGACTCCTTCATTTCATATTTGGATGCCTTTTATATCTTTCTCTTACTTGATTGCACTCGCTAGGACCTCCAATGTTATATTGAATAGCAGTGGTGATAGTGGACAGCCTTGCCTTGCTCCTGATCTTAGAGGGAACGTTTGTAGCTTTTCACCATTAAATGTAATGTTGGCCGAGGGTTTGTCATAGATGGCCTTTATTATATTAAGATATTTTCCTTCTAGACCGAGTTTGTTAAGTGTTTTGATCATAAATGGGTGCCGTATCTTGTCGAAGGCTTTCTCTGCATCCATGGGCCCCTTTAAAAAGCCCACGTTTAAGCTGATATTCACCCAAACCAAAGGCTTCAACGGAAGCAAAATGCCATCATAAACAACCGAAGACAATCGATGGGCTACTTTTAGTTCCCCCGGCTTAATGTGAAGACCGGAACTAAAGCGGTTTTGAAAGCTTTCCGGTGGGACCACGGAGTCACTCGGTGGGATTAAGTGTGCCATCCAACGCGCTGTAAATCTCCGTCACCATTCGATCGGTGGCCGCCACCTCAGCGTGGGCCTCTGGCGTCGCCCGCGGCAGAGAGCAGAGTTTCCGAGCTCTGTGGCCGCACAGACCCGACCCCCGACCCCGACCCCGCCAGGTGCAGAGTCTGACTGATGCGGCCTCTCGCCTCGGGCCGCCTTCCCTCCCCTTCTCCGAGTCCAAACTGACCCTCTGTAAATTCCGAAGCTTCAGCCTTCACAGCACTTTGCAACCTGAAACTTAAAGGAACCCTGTCACACGGGCACTGTGACAAGCCGCCTCACTCAGCTCTAGACCTTTCTCTCTCCCAAGACTCAGGGGACCCCGCCACCATGTGCGTGGGTCATCACAGGTCCGGGTAAAAAGGTAAAGGTGGAAGCTGGTCACGTGGAACCGATGTCAGGAGCGCGAGGGAAGCCGGGCTGAGAAAGCAGGTGTGTGCCCGCCAGGCGAGCTTCAGCTCAGAGCACGCTGGAAGTGGCCACGTTAGGACGCACGGAGGCAGAGGATTCAGGCCTGTCCGCGTGACAAAGAGCGAGCTCAGTGACCTCCCGTCTGAGGTCGACTTTGGAAAAAGCAAGATGACGCTTACCTTGTCCCGAATTTTTGAGATAATTGCCACAGTCCTTGGTTTCCCCAGTTCTGTGAAGACGTGACCTCAATAAAAATAAAGGTTAACTCTGTTAAAAAGCCACCCAGGTGGCGTTTTTCAGGGGCACATTTATGCACAGACACTCCACGTGTCCCTGCACTTTATGGATTACTAATTCTGTGGGGACTAAAATCCCAGGGCGCTCACAGGATTACGAAGGAACGTGCTGAGGACACACTGCCTCGCAGAGGACAGCTCAGGCGCACTGAGACGGGGCACCTCTGAAACTGACCACGCCCCGCAGACGCCCTGGGCACCGGCTCCCTGAACACGCGCGGGGCCCTGCTAGGGGCGATGTGCCCGCGAGCTGTGGCTTGCCGCAGAGGGGCCTGGACTGGACAGAAATAAGGCTGTCAGCTGTCGGCCCCCCTGAGGGCAGGGCAGTGCGGGCGGCGGGCGGGGGAGGGGGGTGTCTGGTCATCTTTGCTGGCTGAGGCAGCGGTGAGCTCCCCCCCCCACTACTCCCCCAACTCCTTCCCCTCCCTGGGCGACACCTGCAGAATGTTCAGAAGGGTTTGCTGAGTGTCGAGGGACCGGACGCCTCCACCCTGTCCCTGGCATCAGAGCCCCGGCTCGTGTCTCCTGTGCCATCCTGCGAAGTCGATTTCGGCAGCAGACAACCAGCGCCCGCTGGGTGCCCAATGCCCTCCCACTGTGGGCGGGCGAGTCCAGCCGAGCCCTCACCCGAACCGGGCCCCGCCTGCTGAGGCCCAGGGTACAGCACCCCAGCAAACAGCCTACAGGCGCCCAGGCTTCCTGCCGTTCAGAAATGCTACAGATCGGCCAAAATATGTTGGCGATCTTTTTAAAAGTGATCTCGAGACAGAATTGGTTCTTGTGAAATCACCTAAATCCACTGAAAAAGGAGTGGTTGTGTTCTTTGTTTGTCTGAA